GTGCACGCACCCTATAGCATAAACATCTCCAAAAAAAAGTGACACTTTTCATGAACATGAGAATTGAAGGAAAGGACTAATTTTACATATCTAGGTTACAAGCAGCATTGTTTGTGATTACTCTGTCATGTGTGATAATAGTTCATGGTGAAATGTTATGCATTAATGAAGGCTGCTGAGGGTGAAAAGTACAATCACATAGATCTTTTCTAGTGCATTTTATTTTAAAAGGAGGAGAGGGACCAGCAGTTAGCATAATGGCTATGTTGCTGGACTCTCATGTAGTCGACCATGGTTTGCATCCCGGCCCCAGTGGCTTAAACTCACGCCAGGTGCGTGTGCGTGCATGCCCAAGATCCTGAGAGGAGAATGGAGGAGAAGGGATTGTGGTGTGGCCACCCCCCCTGGGGGGTGATTTCTCGCTTTCTGTCTGTCTCTGTCTGTCTGGCGAGAGAACGCGCCTTATGGCAAAAACCTCTCCAAAAAAAAAAAAGGAGGAGATAAAATGTAGAATTCCATATGAATAAATTAAGATAATATAATTACATGCATATTGAAAGAGATTTTGAGACCCAAATTACTCATAAAAATACTAAATATATTTTTTTCTGAAGAAAATACTGTCTGCCTTACGGAATATATCTAAGTTGTGATCACTTCTCTTAGTAGTAGAAAAAGAAAAATCTTATCAGAAATAAGTATGTAGAAAAGAGAAATTTTTAGAGGCATTGCTTCCTCATGATAACAAATAAGTTATCGACATTAAATAATTATAGCCAATATGATATTTTTATTGTAACATTTTCTCGAACATAAGATGTAACTTCTTGGTCCAGATTGACACAAAAACTACATTGCCAACATTTGAAGTAATGAAGCCAATGATGAAGATTATTTGAAAATTTAACACCACTCTTCACAGTACCAGCAGCCAGAAACAGACAATACAGTTCCAAAAATTGGTTCTGTTTTTTTCACAAGAAGAAAAGAACAGTTACTTGATGTGCTACCAAATTTCAAAGTATCATATCAAGTTTAGAAATGGCAAATATATAGAAATCCTTAGAGATTACAGAGTATCCTAATACCCAGTCAGGTCTCTAGGGGTACACATCTGGAACTTCCTTTCTGGAAGTCCTATAGGGAACATCATATGGATCAAGAGTCTCTAACCCACAGGCCATGGACCAGTACAGGGACTGGGTCATACAGCAAGAGGTGAGCAACAAGAAAGCAATTACTGCCACTCTCCATAACTTGCATTACTACTGCCTGAACTCTGCCTCTTGTCAGATCAGTGGTGGCATTAGACTCTCACAGGAGTGTTAGCCCTATTGTGAACTGCACATGCAAGGGATCTTGCATGTTGTGTGGTCCTTATGAGAATCTAATGATTGATGAGCTGAGGTGGGGAGCAGCTGCAAATACTGCATTATGGTGAGCTGTATGCTTATTTCATTATATTTTAGTATGAAACAAAAATAGAAATAAAGTGCACAATAAATACAATATTCTTAACTCACCCCCAACTGTACCCCCATCTTCTCCACCCCTCTGCTCTCCCCTACCCCTTCCCCATTTGGGGAAAAACTGTCTTCCATCAAACTGGTCCCTGGTGCCAAAAAAGTTGGGGACAGCTGATATAGAAAGAGAAATGTCAAAAAGTTCATACAAACAGAATTAAAATGTGAATTTATTTTTAGATTTAGCTTGTGATGTGGTAGTTAGGGTGGCTGTATTCCACATGGTTGACTACCCGGTTGGAGTTCTGGACCTGGAGGCTGGAAAAACACACTGGCTGTGTGTGTGTACATTCCTAAAATCCAAAGAGGAAAAATGGAGAGGAAAGGATTGTGTTGTGGCTTCTTCTAGTTGAAAACAAGATGGAGTCAATGACCTCGAGATACTCTTTGTGATGACTTTCCAATTGGAAGTTCATTGAAGGGAGTTGCAGGGGACCACATGGGAAACACTCATGTGTGCTCCTTGCTGGTGGCAGACACAGAGGGCATGATCCCGTCTTACCCTGGATAGAGAGGAAAACAATTATGGAGGGTTCTGCCTCTACCAGGGGCACACAAAGAGTCAGGGATTGGCTGAGTAATTCTTAGGAAATGGAGTCAAGATGTGTGCTGAGTCGGGATCAATTTATATGCTCTGAGAGCATGACAGTCTTAGGTATGGAATAAAGGTGGGCAATGCCAAGAAACTGGCATGGAGTGAGTCCTCTTGGGTTGCCAAGATCCAGGCCATATAAATTGAATGAGATTTCACCCTCCTGCCTACCCACCCCAGTGCCCCTCCCACCTGATCTAGCCAGGACAAGCCAATCACCATCTGTCTATATCTGAGTTCTGACCATACCCTTTCAGGGTCTAGGCCAACTGAAGATTTTCTGCCCAGACTTCACCCTCATACTCCTAGATCTAGCCAGGGTCAGAGTAATCCTTAATTTCCATGGAATCTGCTATACAAGAGAAAAAAATGGTACTGCTTAGAGATTGCAGATCATCTCCGCCTACATGGCTCTGAATGCTTAGACTTAACTCTAAAAACTAGGAAAAAATGTATAATCCATCAGATGACCAAAACCCACCACAAAGGCACAAGAAATATGAGAAGCCAAGAAAATATCTCTCCCCCAAAGGATAAGAATAACTCTTTATCCTCCAGAGACAATACAAGGGAACTCATAGAAATGTCAGATAAAGAATTTAAAATATTCATAGTGATAAAGCTAACAGAGATGCAAGAGAAGAGAGACAATGAACTCCACGAGATGCAGGAGAAAAGAGATAGTGAGTTCCAGGAGGTGAGGAAGTTCTTGTACAATCCAAAAGAGGAAATACATACCATAAAAAAGAATCAAACAAAATTGTTAGAGATAAAGGCTGTAATACAGGAAATCAAAACCTCCCTTGAAAATATTAAAAGCAGAATAGATCATGAATAAGATTGAATCTCAGATGTAGAGGACAGAACCTCTGACCTTGAAAAATGTACCAAAAATACTGAAACAATAAACCCCCAGAATGAGAATGGTATATAAGGAGCGTGAGATACCATTAAACGCCCAAACATCTGGATCATCAGTATCCCAGAAGGTAAACTGTGGGCCACCAGATGTCCAAGGGGGCATGCAGTGCATAAACATGGGAACATAATGCATTGACCAGTTTCCAGAGTTAGCTTAAAACAAATGAACAAATAATCCTACTTGGTATTCTTATAATAGCTATGCAGTGATCTCATAGTCCTTTTCCACCGGGAACATTAAAACCCGAATTTTGAGTAGAGAAGCCAGTTAACTCTCAATTCTAATCTTTTGAGAGTTCAAAAGAGAGCGAATTCAATACAGAATATAATCATTGTATAGCTAGCTGAAACTGGAATACATACACATATGAGCAAACCTTTAGTGTCTTTCTATTTCGGTCTGATTCTGAAGGTGGTTGAGAGGAAACTTTCAAGGTGTCCTTATCATCTTGATTTGTCTCTCATCTGTAAACCTGTTATGTATTCTAACTAACTAATGTACATATTATTTTCTAGTGCCTTGCCTGAATTTAAATAAACTTAGAGAAGGAAAAGATATACTATCACAATAGGGAACAATATAAAAAGTCTTTAAAAAGTCTATATCCATGAGGACATAGATATTAAAAATCTTTGCATGGATTTCAAAATGTGACTGCAACAAAATAAACCTGTATTTTTAATTCACTTTTTCCACTGACTTTTTGAGCTACCCCTGTGTATGAGGTTAGAAATGTTATCTTTTGGATGCTTATAACCATTGCTTAATTACTTTCACAAACTTTTCTGATATTAATTAAGGACATTCATTATTTGTTACTACGGGGCACATAGCTTAGTGCTATTAAGGAAGAACACCAGCTAAATTATTGCATACAGATTCAATGTACTTCATTAGTAGTACAAGCTGATTTGAATTTGATCCATATGAAATGCTAGTATAGGAAAACTGATAACCAAAGCAAGTTATTAGTAGGGTTAAAAAAAATGGGGAAGAAATATTATTTTGACTTAAACTTTTAAAATTAAGCCAGAGGGACCAGCAGTTAGCGTAATGGGTGGACTCCCATGTAGTAGACCGCGGTTCGCATCCCGGACCCGGCGGCTTAAAACTCACGCTGGGCACATGTGCGTGCGTGCCCAAGATCCCGAGAGGAGAATTGAGGAGAAGGGATTGCGGAGTGGCCATCCCCCATGGGGGGGGGTGATTTCTCACTTTCTGTCTCTCTATCTCTCTCTGTCTGTCTGGCAAGTGCACACGCCCTATAGCAAAAACCTCTCCAAAAATAAATAAATAAATAAATAAATAAATAAATAAATAAATAAATAAATAAAATAAATTAAGCCAGAAATATGTAAATAGCAAGCCATGGCAAGTTCCTTTATTTTAGTAGTTTTTCATTCAAGTGTATATAGAAACACTGAACACCTCAAATGCCAAGAGTAGTTGTTAAGGAAGGTCATGGTGAAAAAAGATATAGTTCTTTTGTTTGTTTGATTCCAATTTTTAGTTTTTGCTTTGGGGAACATGCACTTACTGGACAGAGAAAGCGATAAAATGAGAAAGAGAAAGTAAGAAACCCTCCTCAGGGGGGATGGCCATGCTGCAATCTTTTCTCCTCCATTCTCTTCTTAGGATTTTGAGCATGCATGCACATGTGTGCCTAATGTGATTTTCAAGCCACCAGGTCCAAGATTCAAACTGTGAAGTTGGACATGTGGGATTTAGCCACCTTAACCACCACACCACTGGCTGGCTCAAAAGACACAGTTTTTATAAATTAAATTTTATACTATGGAACTCTGGTCACATTACATAAAAATGGAGTTCTTTTATGTAATTCAACAAGATACATGGGACGTGTACATGAGGTTACCACAGTCTTTGTCTTCTTGTTGCAGTTCATCCCTCATTTGCTAAAAACAAAATATGGATTCAAGACAGTGTTGGCATGCTTGCTTACCACAGGCCTGTGTACGTCCCAGAATGCTCTCTCTTGGCTATCAAGGATCTTCCTTTCGATCTTGTCTCTCTTCTTGTCTACTCTGTCAACATCATAACAGCAAATAATAAGTAGTGTTAATTGTAGTGCATCTCTGGACAAAAAGTTACAACTTGAACAAATCTTCCAAAAGACTCACAAGGACTCACTTTGCTTGTGCTTCTGCTTGCATAAAAATGAACTCCCACTTGCGGGCAAAAGCTCTCTGCAGCCTGGCCAGACTTTCCTGAAACATATACCATGGGGAAGACATTCAGGTGCTCATCTTCACTGCTCCCTTCTAGCTTACTTACCACATGTATTTGTTAGGGAAACAAGTACAGACTGTCTAAAGCATTAAGTGTATTTTTGTTCTCAACAGTACACTGCTCACTGAATTCAGCTAATCCTATTGATAGCATTAGAAAAAACAAACACTGTGTTATAAATAGTAGCTTTTATAAATAAATAGAGAACACAATTAAACATCCTATCAAGTTTCTGCAAAATAATAAAATTACCTTGGATGAAAAAAAGTATGTAAGACTAACCTGCTGGAGTTTTCTGTGCCCAGTTTATGGAGGAAAGGGGAGAGTAATACATGCCTACTGCTGACTTGATCAGTCTAGCCAGGTCCTGATAATGAATGTAGAACCACTCCTACACAATGATTTGACTTTGGCAAACCACGATGTAGTGATCATCTAACAAATTATTCTTAGATTGACTTTATCTGTTGATGGTGACAAATCCAATGGTCCCACAAAAGCCATATTCTCAGTGTAAATCACTTTAATTCTTGGAATGTGGATATCTTCAGTACAGCACTATATATCTGAAGTCTTTCCGGTATGTTAATTTTAGATAGTAAGATATACTTCCCCCTTCTCCTTGAATTTGTGTATTTAGGTCTCCGCCATCCTCAATGTGAAGAAAGGAAGCAAACAAACAGGGATTTATAAGCCACTGTGCTGCCTGATTCCTGGAAATCTCTTCCTTTAGATCTACAAAAGTTTAACAACATGCCTAGAAATAACCATACGCCTTTTTTCCTGTTCACTTAGGACTTGGTCTGCCAAAAAGTTGGTACTTACAGCTTCGTAGTCTGCTAGCTCCAGCCTTGCCTTGTTTTGCATTGTTCTCTTACAGAGGTACACCGCTGAAAGGGAAAAAGGAAATCAATCATTTCTCACTTGCTTACTAACACTGAGGTACTAGAAAGAAAATAGAGCATTATGACACGTGTCACTTTCTCAAGTGATAGTTTTCTTTTATCATTTTTTTAGACAGACATAAATTAATAATGTTTTAGTATTATTATTAAAATTCAAACATAATGACCCTTACCATGTCATAAGAAAATAGTCATGTTAAGAAACTTTGGTGACCATTTCTTTACTTTTATTAAATGATTGTCACCATTTTAGAATACTCAACAAGTAAGGGAGAAATCTTTTAAAAGAGATCAAATGAACTGAAAAATCTAGATATGCTAATAAAATTGTTTTGTAAAAAAAAATTATATGAAAAGGGCATATTGGCACATTCAATTATTTCCAGATTGTACTGTCAACTGAAGGGATCTATTATTGTGAACTGAAGGCTTCATGGTATCTTTTTTGTTTCATGTCACAAAAGCCAATCACTAATCAATTATTGTGTCACTAGGAGGGGAATGCAACCTCTTACTACACAGCCTTTTAATACCATTTCCTGAGGCCTCAGTGTCCTTGGCTGCCACGTACAGTCCATTTGGGCAGCAAATTTACAAGATGAGTAATGAGGGAGGAAAAGATAGTGACAGCAGTTGTTGCCACCAAGCAAATTTCTTTAGTTATTTGAGAGTATCCTTGAGACTTTGATACTATTAAGACATTTAAGGCCAATTGGTGGTGTGGTGGTTAAAGGGGCTGGATCCCATACAGCCAACTGTGTGGTTCAGTCCTGAAACTGGTGACTTGCAAAACACATTGGGTGTGTGTGAGTGCCTGCCTAAAATCCCAAGAGAATGGAGGAGAAGGGACTGCAGCATGGTCATACCCCAAAGGGTGTTGTCTCACTTTCACTCTCTCTCTGTCCCTCTCCAGCTAGTGCACACATGCCCTATAGCAATTTTTTATTTTTTAAAAAAGAAATTCAGAGCTCTATGGTACACTCCCAATTCCCAGAATAGTCTTTTTCCATTAAATATGATATTAAAATTCAAGATAAATGTATCTATTCTAGTTGCTGAATAAATTCAGGGGAAAAGGATCATCAAATATTAATTTCTGGAAGTCTAACTCTGTGACAATGCTTTATAAACACTGCTTTTGCACTAAGCTGTACCACCTTTAGTTTTAGATAATGAAGTCCCCACTATCATTGAGGAAAGATGCTACACAGAAAACTTGAGACCACTGCAAACATAGGCACTATTTACTCAACTTCTCATCAGTAAAGTTTCCTGTATGAAAGTCAAGGCAAAGGACAGAGCCAAGAGTAGAATGATGCTACCATTACTATAAAGCACTAAGAACTCAGAATATGGTTTTAGAACACATCTTTCTACAATCTACCAGGTAATTTTATTTTTATATTATTTCTACTAGTTTTCAGAAGTCAAACTCTGAGAACAATTAGGGCATTGTATATTAGTTTCCCAATTGGTCATCATTTATGTTCACTCTTGAAGGAACTCTTGCTGTAGTGGTGACTGTAAATTTAACGAGCTATCTCACATACTTTCAGTATCTGGTAAAATAATTTGTAGTGTATATGCAATACCCCAAGGGTATCTCTTCATGAGAGGAAGGCTAAATATTATATATCTAATTAAATAATTTTGGTGTTCTTATAGAATTATCTTCAATCGAATTTCAAACCCCAACTGAGCCCTCTATCAATTCCCACTCTTTCTGTCCCCTTCCATGTAACCTTGTAGTTGTTTTTTTATTTCTGGTCATTTAATCTTTGTTCCTTTTCAAATCAGTCTCCTTCTGAGAAACATATTTCTAACCCCATTAGGTAAATTAATAAATTAAAGTAAATTAAAGAACTGAATATTTTTCTTTATTTTGGGGGGGGATGATGGAATTGCTCACAAAGAAGTTATACTTCCTTTAATATGGCTATCCTACAATGCAGTTTTCTATAATTCTCTATGGAACAAAATGAAGGCATGAACAGACAGTGCCTGGCATAAAGTAATAGTTGTACATATTTTTGCTGAATAGGTGAATAAAAATGAATGAATAGGATATTTTCATAAGGCATTTTTTACAAGTCAAATCAACTCAAATAACAAGATTTCCTTATGTGTCCACTAGATGCTTTGGTAAAGTGAAAAAAATGGGGAAAGATGGACATCTGGGTTAGCAGAGTAGGAATAATTTGGACACTGCTGAAGGCAGGGCAAATAAGGTCATGACCGGTCTAGACCACTCTGGGATTGACAGTTGCAGTATGTAGATGGGAACATTTTATACTTTTATTTTTTATTAGCATTGGGCAAGAAGAAAACAATAGAGGAGGTCCCAGTAGATAAAGGAGGGTTTCAAGCCCCAACATTTCCCAATCCATCACAGATTGAAAAACTGAGAGTGCTAATGCATAGTCAAAAGCTCTGGCTCCAGTCAAGTGTTTTATGCTAATTCCTAATTATTTAGGAAAGGAAAGTGTCCTACATAGAGTCATGTAGGAATCTAAGCTCCGGTACAGAGAGTCAGTCTTTTTAAACATAACCTTTGAATATTTTCTGCTCTGCCAAAATGTTGAAATAACAACTAAAATGATATTTCTGGGGTTCTTTAAAAAATATTTTTATTATTGAAGACATAATTTCAACCTTAAGCTTAAATCCATCTCCCTGCAGTAGTTTTCCAGGAGACTATGAGACAATGTTGAAGACTTGAGGGTCAAACAAACCAGTTATTTAAGAGGAAGCAATGCCACTAAGCCAGAGGGAGGTTTGATAGTAGTCTCGCTAAAACAGCTGCACATTTGGTCCAAATGTAACTAAGATGGAAAAGTGGAATTTTCTGGATCACAACTTTGAGTAAAAATTGAATAGAAAATGAATGCTGGCATTAGATTATCCCCTCTAATTTCATAAAACTCTATTGAAGCGGAGCAGTTTCATCATCAAAAGACATCTGTAACAAAGGTGTCTAGAGTTTATCATCCAAATTAGCGAGACAATCACTAAAACTCCAATATTTAAATATGGATAGGCCATGAATATATAGTTTAGAAAGACTAAAAATACAAATGCCAAATAGGTATTTGAAAAAATAGCCAACTTACAGACCAAGTAATGTAAATGTAACTTATATAGTCATAATGGAACTTTATTTTCTTTTAAGGTTTACTTTGTTGGTTAATTCTTTCCTTGTTGCTGAATTTAAAAATTGGGACAGTTTCCACAATCTTGCTTCTCATGCTTGGGTTAAACAAAGATCTTAAATTATTAGTGAAAACACCCATCCCAAGTAATAATAGATTTCTGAGCTTGGCTTATGTAACATACTGTCCTTTAGGTTTATCAATGTTGTTGCAAGTGAGAGGATTTCCTTCTTTTTAATGCTACCTAGTATCCTATTTTGTATATATCCCACATTTTCTTCATCCATTCATCTGTTGGTGGACACTTAGGTTGATTTTTTATCTTGGTTATTGTGAACAATACTGCAATAAACATGGAAGTTCAGATACCTCTTCAACATACTGATTTCATTTGTTTTGGAAATATATCCAGTAGAGGGACTGCTAGATCATACGATAATTCTATTTTTAATTGAGGAATCTCTGTTGAAGAATCACTGTACTGCTCTGCTTTCTATAATGGCTGTACTAATTCATACTTCCAAGGACAATGTACAAGGATTCCATTTCTCCACTTCTTCACCATAATTGCTATCTTTCATCTCTTTTTTAAAGAATTATTTAATTTATTATCATTATTACTTTAAATTTTCTATAAGGAACAAGTGTTCACCAGAGAAAGAGATAGAGAGAGAGAGAGAGAGATAGCGAAAGAAAGTTGCCAGGTCTGGGACTCAAACCACCATCAGTCATGTGGGAGTCCAGTGCCTTAACCACCCTGACACCTAGTGGCCTCTCTCTTCTTTTAAAATTACCTAGAGAGAGATTTTTGCTATGGGACACATGTGCTCACGAGAGAGACAGAAAGTGAGAAATTACTCTCCAGGGGAATGGCCACAACATAGTTACTTCTCCTCCATTCTCCTCTCGGGATTTTGGGCACGCGCTCACATGTGCCTGGTGTGAGTTTTAAGCCACCAAGCCTGGGACCCGAATTGCATTCAACTATGTGGGAGTCCAGAGATGATGTAAACATTATGGCATCTGCTGGTCTCTCTTTCATTCTTACATCTCTTTTTAAAGTGTCTTTCTTTTATTTCTTTGTTTGTTTTGTTGGCTTTTTTTTTTGGGGGGGGGGGGCATGTGCACTCACCCAAGAAAGCCAGAGATCAGAGGAGACAGGAAAAGTGAGAAATCATGTCCCAGGGGGATGGCCACACTACAATCTCTTCTCCTTTATTCTTTCAGGATTTTGGGCATATATGCATATTCATCCACTGTGATTTTCAAGCTGCTGGGTCTGGAACTTGAACTGCACAGTTGGCCAAGTGGGATTCAACCATTTTAAGCTCCATTTCATCTTTTGGCCCATTTTCTTCTTTCTTTCTTCCATGAGCGAGTGAGAGAGACAAGTACTTTCCACAGGGACTTATACCATGATTTCCCATCAGCCTTCCAGCTAACCAGAATCAAGGGAAAGTGCACACACATGAACACTGTGTAGAAGTCAACCCAGGAACTGCACCTAGACCTTCCACAGGGTGCTCAGCTTTGCCGAGTGTTGTGCTGCCACTGCACCTTCATGCCTGGGCCCTTTCCTCTTTTAAATAAAAGCTATGCTCACAGGCACGAGAAGGTGGCTTTAATTCCCATTTCCATTTCATTTATTTCCATCTCTCTGATAATTAGGAAGTCATATACTTGTTGGACATTTGTATGTCTTCTTTCAAAAAATATCCTTTCAGGTCCTTTGGCCATTATTTAGCTAGGTTATAGGCTTTCTTACTTGACTGATAGCACTGTGTTCTAGCATTGCCAGTTTCTAGAACTGGCAGAGATTGGAAACATGTTCATTTT